ATATCAAATCACACAACTAAAAATGTTTTGGCCGCAAGCTTCATCTGTGGGGTTTTAGATTGATGACGATAACGTCTTGGTCTTAATATTGCCACAAAGTGGTGTTGGATCTGGTGGTGGAGCTGAAAGAGTAAACATACAATCTCTATTTTCCGTGTCGCCACAACTGTTAATCTGTCTAGAGGACAGCCTCAAAGTTGTAAGAAAATATCATAGTGCAATCTTTGAGCAGCACGAATTAATTCTGAAAAGCATTCAGCAGCATTAGCTTACGATGGCCAGCCTTGCTCGTTCGACAGCCGCCCCCTGGCGTTACTTGTAGTGGCCAACGCCGTCCGGTTTTATGAATATTGAAATCCAAGTCATCGCTATCCTTGCTCCCTGAGATTGTGAGCGTGTCAGTTAGGCTTGATGGCGCCCTCAGTTGCTGGGGTTATAAATGGCGTTGCCAGCCTCTCACCCTAGGCGGGAAGGGAGGTCACTGCAGTTAATTAAATACCGTACCTCTAGTTTCCCAGACGCGCGGTGGTTAACACAGGCGAGTGAACCACACCACTGTCGGCACCCGGCCCGCAGGATCAAACCTTTTGATAATATTTGTTTCATCAGTCGATTTTGCAAAATAATGAGCGTTCTCAGCGAAACATGGGATGGCCTTGTGAATTTTGAATTTATTTCGACTCACTTCATTCAACACCAATGACAACCCTGATTTCTTTCCTGTAAAGGGGCTCCCTCGAGTACAACACTACGGGGCACATTGTTGTTTCCGGCCAGGGACTGATAGGCCATTCTGTCCCACCGCGGTGCGTTTCCAGTCCTCATTCTGGCGACGCGGGGCAGCATCCCTGGCCGATCCGGATGCCCGTAGAGGGATACATCATATCACATTGGTCCGCTCTCTGACGCGGGAGGCCTTTATACCCGCACAATTGTCTCCGGATCGACGCATGCACCACCATTAACGTACCAACATCCCTGATTGCAGTAAGTGGTCACGTGATTGACCCATAGAATCCAGTTTGGCCTAACTAAACCCAATGCTGGAGAAGGATTACAGGACCCACCGTTCGATACTAGGGGCCCTGACTGGCACAGGATCCTTCCATCGCCTCAATGTGAGCGATACAGGAGCACAACCAGTGTAAATCGCAGGTCTGGCCCTGCTCCTGTTTGCAAAATGGGCCCCCAGAGCTCAGACCAACTCGGGGCCGACTGTTCGCTGCTTTTGATCTCTGGCAAAAATAGAGGAATGCTCTGTCTCAGGGATGCCCATCGGTGCAGGAAATAATCTTAATGGCATTTCGGATCATGGCCCTGTGAGCGGGGTTCTTAATGTGACCTAAGCCAGCCTTCGGACCCTTCAGCCATCCAATCGGGCCCTTGATCTTTCGTCTCGAGACCCCTGGACACCTTTTCGGGCCATTTCAAACACGCTCCGACTCGGGCCACTTGCAGGACCCCTGTTCGGCATCGTGGCCAATAAACAACACAGGAGCCCCGCATTATGTCAGGAACCAAGAACATTGCAAATCTCGCCTCATTTCAGCTTCCTTTCTGCTTGAGAAATGGGTCTCGAGGGCTCAGACGGACATGAAGCCGACTGTTCGATGTTCGTGGTCTCTGACCGACTTGGACCTACATTACATTATCATACTTGCATTGACATACTACGCTACATACCTACATGAGACCTACATTGTCTCAGTGGTTCCTTAAACCTTGCAAGAGGACCTCTGCCTGGTGTTTCAGCTCACAACCCTACGGGCTGCGATCCTTTATGTGACCTAGAGGCAGTCCTTCAGGCCCTTGTGTCCTCCAACCGGGCCTTTGATCGTCGGTTCCGGTGGGCCACCTGCACCCCTCTCCGGGCCTCACCGAACACTTCCCTTGGTCGGCTCGGGGCCCTTGCAAGCGCAGGGCCCTCTGTCAGGCGCTGTGCACCCCTGACAGATACAAAGCCCCGAGCAGTGTAAAGCACTGGCCCCGGCTTTGTAGTTGATTAGGAATTGAGTCCTCAGGTCCATATCAACATGGAGCCGACTGCATGGTGCGGTGATGCCTAACTGACGTATAGGCCCAAATCTACTCAGGGGCTCACCGTTATTTGAGTGTCCTTCTTTGCAGGCCGGGGCCCCTGAATAAGACTCCGACCAGCCCTTTGCGCCCTTACATTCTCCAATCGCGCCCTTAATTGTTGGACCCGGTGGGCCCACTGGGTACTTTGGGCCTCTTCGAGCACTGCCTCTGGCGGACTCGGGGCCCCTTGACAACACAGGGCCCCTATTAGGCGCTGTGGGGTCCCGAACAACGTAAATCACTGGTTCCGGCTCTGCCACTGCCTGGGAAATAGGCTCTTAGGCTATGCCGCCACGGAGCACACTGTGCGTTACTGGTGGTGTCTGACCCAAATATAGACCCTTATCGACTCAGCGGGGCCCTGATGATCACGCAAGGCCCTATGGCTGACACTGGAGCGCCCGGCCCTGCTGGCGGGGCCCTTGAATGGGACCCCCAGCTGGCCTTTCAAGACCTTCGGGCCCCCAAATCGGGCCCTTACTCGTAGGTTTCGAGGAGCGCGAAGTACCCCTCGGAACATAAGTGGGTGGGGGGGGGGGGGAAGCACGTGCCCCCCCCCCCCCCCGCCTGCGCTACGTCTTCGAAGACAAAAGTTTCCTGACATAGCTGACTTTATCCTTTCTATACGTTGTACACCTTATAAACATCCATTATGTCGGTCTGTGTCATAGCAAGGAAGAAAAACACGATCCCGTGACATCCACGGCATGTGGAAGAAAAATAATCCTCATGCCAGCCTGCTAGATTTAACCCCAACGCTTCTTCACACATATTCGAGGTGCCTACAAAGTTACAACACGAACTGCAGCTGCACTGATTTTCTCAGTTATGCGCTCACTCCCGCCCCTGGCATGTTCACGTCGCCTCAGAGCTCAACAATTCTCACTGCAGGCTGATTCTAGGTCTAAACATCCCGCCCCTCCGCTCGTTATTGGCGATGCGCTGGCTTTTCTATGATTACTACTGCAGATTTTACGACCGGCCAAAGCATCCTTTCAGTTTACTTCAGTTTCGGTGTGGATGTCCGCTCCATTGTCAAATCAGCTGCGTTCGTGAAGCCCGATAGGTGCTTGGTAAGGTGCGGCGTAACTCCTTACTTCAGATTTCCCATTTAAAAGTACATATTACGGACGTGGAAGTGCAATGTTACTCGGCATTTTATGCAACCGTATTCGAAGTAGAAGCTTGGATCAAACGTGTGATCGGTGAATTTGTTGGATGGTGGGACCGGTCAGGCACCATGTATTGCTGTTTCTCTATGCACGGTTGTGCGCTTTTAAGACGGTATCCCACCTCCGCCGTTTGGCTGGAGATGATATTCAGTCAGGGGAAAAAGCGGAACCAAATGCATGGAGCGAGATTACCCGTCCTGAACCCCATGGTACGTTCGCCCAAATCGACAGAGATCCCGCGCAATCAGCGGATTGCAATGACAAGGGGCCCGCTGTGTATCCATCCCAGAAGCAACATTATCCTAAGGTAATCCACACAGACGTATACATTCGGCGCCTCGCCACATGCGCCTCAAGTATACCTACTGGCTGCCGTCCACACCACGACACCCATCCCTGGCAGGCGCAGGGGGTGCAGCCCCATCCTCTTTTCAGCGTCGTATGCGCGATTCCCCACTAAGCTAAGAATAAGTTTTGATTCCATCCATTTCAAACACCCATTAAAGTCACGTTTATGACCCATTAAAAGCATATCAGGCTAATTTGCTATCAGCCTGCCACCGACACGGCTACTGAGACTGCTTCGGGCGTAGCTAAGGTGGATGACGACTTGTTCCCTCGTCTGACCTTCAGGATGACGACTCCCTGTTCGGGCGACGCTCCCTCCCGGCTCGTCCATCGTGGGACAGGCCACCGCTACTTCGGCCACTCCCACCGCTCGCAGCCTCCCGCTGCCGCGCGCCAGCCTTTGGCGGCGCGGCAGCGGGTCAAAGACTAGTGCAAAGGCCCGTCCAGTGAGGCGACGTGGCCTCCGGCGCTTCTGCGCCCTCGCCTCCCACCTACCAAATTGAGGTTTTCAAGGCACGGCCTCAGGGTGCGCCCCTCAGAGACCTGGAGGTGGACAGCGCACCTGAGAGGGTGGAGCCCATCGGCAGACGGCGAGCGCGGCAGGACCTGCGCTTACGTCTTACAGTCTCTCTGGCAGACGTACTCTGAGAAATCGGCCTGACCGACCTGTTTGACGATTCAATCCCTCGTCGCCATTCCCATAAGCGTGATAGCGGGGTGTCTACCCGCACCGAACATCCCGCGATCGACGGTTTACAGGGCCTGGCGCACATCGCGCTGGAAGAGGACGGGTTGTGTCCTGATCTCTCCCGAGGCGTTATACACCAACCGAGAGATCCAGTTACCGCCGTGCGTAACCGAGCATCCCGGACTGTCCGAACCGGTCCCTGGGCATGCCACGACCTATGCCCCTTCATGCCATCACACCTGAGGTCGAGTGATAGACGAGGAAAAACACCAGTCGACCCCCTCCTGCCCTGAAAATCAACGATATTTTGCCTTCGAGTCGCACTGCCATTAAGGTATTCCTCTGTTTAAGAGCAAGACTGTAGTCGCCTGGCTCCTACTGAATCGTGGCTAAAGCCGAGCGTCATTGCTCGAGCGTGCTCCTCGTTTACCACCATTCGCGGCCGTTGCCATTTTGCGTGACTCAAGCTCCGTAAAAAGAGCAGCAGGATGCGAATCGAGCGAGTTTTTTAGTTCAGTGGAACCTTATCCGATCGGCTCCCACAATAATTAAGACACACAGATACCCGTTTTTTAGCCACTGACACCCTCTGCTAGGCCCATGTCACATGGATATTGTCACACAAGGTACTGTCACGTGTGACATCTCTGACGAGGGACGCGCAGTGAGAGGTGCATCGTTGGAGCAGGTGAGTGCAGTAACACTCAGCTCACACTGAAGAGGCTATCGTGTGACGTGTAGCGCCGGTAGGTCCACTTGAGCTCGCGCTGGGCCACCAGGTCCTCCAGCGAGTTGATCCGGTCCGTCACAGTGGGCACGGTCAGGAATGCGATCAGCGTGCCTGCGGCAGCGACGCGGGTCACACACTCAGCTGAGCTGGGGCCGCGGCCGTGACGCGTCACGAGCTCCGGCTAAGGTCAGGCAGGGACGGAGGGGGATGCGATGACATAAGTATTCAGCCTTCCGTCGCCATATGCGGCCGCGCCCCCGCACTCTTGCTGGGCCACTAGCAGCAGGTTTTGGTGGGCTCAGCGCGGGAGGGGTGACCTGGGCATGTGTCTCAGTCGTCCGGGTAGGCGCCTGTGGACGTCGGTTATCCTTAGCATTAAGAGCAGTGACCATTTCGTAATAAGTTCGAGATGCATGTGTGGCCCTCGGTCGATAGCTGCCGTTCCGGGCTCTGATACCTGCCGTTCCGGGCTCTAACTGCCGCCATTCCGGGCTCTAACTGCTGCCGTTCCGGCCTCTAACTGTTGTCATTCCGAGCTCTAACTGCTGCCGTTCCGGGCTCTAGCTGCTGCCGTTCCGGACTTTAATTGCTGCGCCCTGGCGAAGAGCCGCCGTTGCGGAGGCAGGGTGACCCGTGGCTGACGTGCCGCTAACCTGTATAGCTGGCGATGATAGTGATGGCGACGAGCCACCAGACGCCGAGCAGCACACGGGACGCCATGTTGGTGGGGATGACCTGGCCGCCTGCGACAAGACAGCCGGTCAACCTCGGCTGGGCTAGCTGGACGGCACATTCTCACAGCCAGGGTCTGGGTCAGGCACGGCCTCGTCTGCTGAGAACGGCCACAGACGCGTCGGTGGGTGACGAAACCGACTGGGAGCCGGCGTCAGTCGGCCGAAGCCGGAAAACCGGACGGTCCCGACCGAGGCAAGTCAAGGCTAAGCTCAGGCGATCGGCGCAGCTTCAGGCGGGGTCAATCAGGGGGCCACCGGGCTGGTCGGTCGGTCTCAGCCAGCATCAGTCAGCTGCACGCACCTCGTGTGGCGCGACTGTCCATCAGTCTGAACAGGTTTTTATGACACCGATGTATTCGAGATGCATCCCAGGTCGAGAATAGATAGCGTAACGTCGCTGCCGCTTGAGGGTCGCATGGGAGATCGGACATGTCCGTAGCCGACAATGAGTATGCTCCCATCAAACAACGCAGCAAGCATTCTGAAAACGCTTAAAGGAAGCACTAATATGAATCGCTTGTGCTGGTTTAACACTGGCTCGTGCAAGGAAACCTCTCGTGACCGGGGTCAGGCTATAAGAAAACTGAAAATGCGGCAAGGAGCGGAGTGTGCACTTAAACTCCACGCTGTTTTTGTGACGCTATGGAGCGAGGCAGAACTATTGATTTTAGCTCCCCATCGGTGACAAATAGCTTGGGAACCCAACGATCAGATCAGAAAACTTCACGGAGTGACTATGGAGCCTAAAACTGAAGGCTACCTGTCGGTGGCACTGAACTTTGCCGTCCCCCTTCCCCCCCCCCCTCCTTGGGTTCCGAAGGGTCCATAACTGCCGGAACGGAAGCGTATCTTTTAAGAACATAAAATGCAACACAATTGGACGCCTCTTGGCCTCCAGGTCACCGATAACAGCAAAAAGCGGCGGTGAAGGGCACATGAGGGGACACAAATCATATATGTCCACTTGCGGGGGCAATCGGATCGCTAAGAGGCCTTCCACGTTGCGCTTGATCTCTTTGCATTTACTTGGGGGGCCCGAAGCTGTTGTCGGGCCCTTTACGCTAATTTGCTGAAGCACTCTTGAGCGAGCAGGGGCCCTGCACGGCTTCTTCCAGTCGCCAGAAAGGCTCTATACGATATGACCGGAGACCCCATACGCAGGGGTGGTAAAACCTGCCCACTTGGTGGATAAGATCGGTGACAAAAATGCATGTATCCACGCGAAACTTGTTGCCAAAAGTTTTGTTGAACAGCAAATTTTGGTAAAGGCCAAGACGAAATAGTACAGCACTCCATGCAAAACATAACACGATGTCTCCATGTATAGATATTATGCCTCCATAGCAATACATTTCGCCAGAAAACACCAGCAAACGTTTTCATAAGACTCTTTACCATACTTTACAGCACCATGACATTTTTACTATGTTTCATTCTAACCCGGCGACAAAAACATCCCACGATTTCTAGTTGGTCGGCCGACTCGATGATAGGTCGGCGATAAATCTATGTATTTCCTATGGCCCAGCCGATCGGCCGATCCGCGGTTTTTAACAGCCGATCCCCAGTGTCCCGACCTAGACTGCATAAAATGCTGGAAAACCTAAATTTGGGGATTCATCTGGCCGCAAGGGCATGTTTCAATCGTTGCAATGCGACTGATCTGTGTTGGGCGGTGACTTTCAACGCACTGCAATTTTGCAAGCGTCCTTCACATTGTAGTGTTATGAATGCCTGTCTAGGGTTTCATTTTTGACCTTGCTTACTTAGTTGGCAGTGACGCGATTCAGCATCCTGTTCTCAGCGACGAGATGCATTAACAGTTCAGGGTAGGTCGGCGGGATGATCCGATCAAGGTAGAAATTGACCTGTGATTATTCAAACCACCTTTTCCAGATACCGATAATGCTGTTGACTCCCTGAAGCAGTCACAAACGACCGGCATTCTTCCCTTTGAAAAGAACCGTGAGTTTAATGTTTCAGTATGACGGTGTTCGCCATTAAGGGGAATAACTGGAGGCTATAATAGTTCTGAAACTCCAATTTATGCCATTTTTGCTATTGCCGTTTTTTGCTTTTACACTTTTGTTTTTGTCCTGATTGAAAATGGTTACCGTTCACATAAATCTTCAAATCCGGAGTCTTCCTACTTTTTATTCAGTTTATGGCTCCATCCCTCCCTTAAGTTTGTGAAGAAGTGTGCTAATCTGGGAGGCATCCATATTTTGGGGAACACTGCATAATTTTTCAATGTTCCTAATCTTCAAAACCTTTGCCCCTGTTTGAAATGCAACTATTTCTTCATTTTTTTATAGCAATTTAACAATTATTCACGGGTTAGCCTTTTGCTGATATGAATTTTGGTTGGTGGGAATTGATATGATATCTAATGATGCAGACCATGGGAAGGCAATGCAAGTGATGAAAGGGGTGGTGTAGCAAATGTAGGCAATGAAGAGGGGGTTCAGGTTTCATTGCCATCTCCCCCTTCACCACGAGTTCTACTTCAAGCAGCACGAGGTTTCATGGCATTATGGTCCAACTGGTTGATATTTTGTTGTCTGTGTTGACAATGCTGGCTATCTTCGGATAATAGCACCTCTACTGTAACAGGAAAGCTCTGGAGGCCATTCCTTATGTAGTGCCCATTCATAGGCATATTTTCTTCGCACTTGTGAACATGGATGCAAATATCGTATATTTCATCACTGTTTTTGCTAACACTGAATCGAAGATTATCCTAATGGAACCATCAGCATAACCACCATATAATTTTATTACAGGTTGTGAAGGTATACGGCCTACCTTATGTGCTGCCTACAATGAAAGCAGAAATCAACATAGTTTGTCTGGTTGGGGCATAATGGAAGGAGTGCCAGTTTTTATCCGTGATTAGGGGAGGTAGTGACCAATGGATAGTGGTCAATGACTCAAGTCCACAGAAGATGGTTTTGTGTTATAGCTAGCTTTTTCTCATATATTTTTGTGATTTTACAGCTAGAAATGTTGGTTAGACGGAGAATCAGCAGTGAGGGGGCTCAACCTAACATAGACATTGGTTGGTGTCCCAGAAAACATAAAAAACAACACAGACGACCTTAGACTTCCATATCATTGCTTGGATGTTGGCAATGAAATGTGTCATTCTGCTTTAGCAGTTGCTGTTTGCGTGATCTGAAACGCAAATTTTTTCACTAGCACGTGTAAAATAAATAAAAATTATGGCAGCTAACAATTTTAACCCCTGTCCTGATTCTCCGCTCTCCGCAACGCGGACTGATGGGAGTGGATCCACTGACGTTTGCGAGCTAAGAAAGATAAAGCCTCGTAAAAAAACAAATGGTGAACTGTCTTTAACGAGATCTCGTGAATAGTAAGAAGTCTTCTGTTGTTAATTGACCCAACTAGACCAAGTCGAAGGTAAAATTTTCCTGAAACCAAACATCAAATTTGGATGTTGATATTTACGAAACCATGCAGCGTAGTGACATGGAACATAAAGAGGCGTGTTCCTTGTTTATCTAGGAGTACAGTGCCATGTGGTTTTTCCTGTTTGGGGTCTACATTTATAATGTGGGATTTCGTTCACGTAGCAGTGCCAACCCTCCGCGCGCGGTCCGCAGAATCGTGGTTTGCCACCCGCCGCACCCGCCAGCCTGGAATCGTCTTGCAACGCTCGTGAAAAAACATCGCTACTCTGAAACCAGAATAACTTGGGACACTTTTTTACGTCAACATGCGTGCAGTGTTGACACCAATATCCCAGAGGCTACCAAAGATTTGAGCGACACCGCGATATACCGCATTGGTATCCTCAGGAAACCCTAGTGATGGGGGGGGGGGGGGGAGAGTGTCGCATCGTCCACCGATGCTCCCTCCTGTCAGGGCAAAAAGGCAGCCGCCTGATGTGAAGTTATTGACATATTTTGACGCAATTTACTTGTTGGGGATCGGCAAAAGGCGCCCGCCATTCAAAACATGTCGCGCCAGGCTTGGGCATGCCTAAGGTATGGTGGATAGTTTGATGATAGCTGAGATGGGACTCGAAGCGCACACGTGATTTACATAAGGGGGCGTTGCCTCGTGAAACCCCATATTTGACATCATCCCCAGTGCCACTTGCCACTGGGGATATGCCATGCCCTGGCTATCGAGGTCCTTCGTTGTTTTCTTTTTGCAGTTCAGGAAAGCAAATCCAGCCTTAGATCGCGTGTAGACGTGAGACCCCAGCAAGGCCCGAAGATGGAAGAAAACTGTTGTTGTCATTGGACTATCTCATCATTCTAGGCTATCTCATCATTCCATGGCAGATGCGCCTGCTTTCCTAGCAGCAGCACTTTCCCTGACATTTGTTGAAGGACAGCATATGGTTGAACGTTTCGGTTGTGTGCATGCTATTGTAAATCGCAGCGGTGACAGAACCTTTCGGTGATAGGCTGGTTACTGATATCGCTACTATGTATGGACTTATTGAGCATTTTGTCATAAGATATCGCACAACGCTACTGGCGACAATTTCCCCCCAGAAATTTGGTCGGCGACAAAAAGTACACTTTTGCTACCCCCACCCATATGGTAGCCTGCCGGGGTGCTCTCGATTGTCCAGGCGCCCATAACATTGGTGTCAGGTTCTTTCCACTTGCTCGGAGGGACCTGCGCTTTTACTGGAAGCCACATAGGTTAACGTAACGATTCACCCGATGCCCAAGGGCCCTACATTGGTTTGAGGCTCTTTCCGTTTACCTCATTTGTGGAGGACCCACATTCTTATCGAAGTCACGGGTGTCAATTTGTGTTCTTTTGGGTGGGCCTCAGACCCCGCCCCAAGGGTAAGTTTGGCCCCCGTCCCTCCCCCAACCTTCTGGCGCCGAAGCAAAGCAGAGTATGAACAATGAGATACCAACATTATATGAATAAAAAAGAAGGTTTCTACTAATTATTTCTTAGGTAAAGGAACAAGGTCCACCATTGTTTCACAGGTAAAGGACTCTTCCTTCACCCACACGGGCAAACCTCGTGTCATTGTTCGGTAACCCCGTGTGACAAAGGTGAGCCCCCCCCCCCCCCTCCTCGTGATAGAGAATCGCCAACAACGCTGCAGTGCACCTCTAGCGTCATAAGGCCGCCAAAGATGAAGATGACGATGAAGATGGAAGCACACCGAAAATAAACATTGCTTTACTCGTGACAGGAAGACACCGAAGATTCAACACCGCACCACTTTGTGACAGCGGAGGGGCATCAAGAAGGCAACGTTCACTTACCTTGAGAAAGCAGACCGCCGAAGATGTACCACTGAATGCTGAAGTAGCGCACCTTGGCGTTCGGTCGGTGGGGGTAGAGCTTCGGTATCAGATCCTCTTCAAAATGCTCCAAGAACGAGAACACGGGTGCGATCACGAGCAGCAGTACGCTCACGGCAATCCATACCTGCAAACGTCGAGGTCGTCAGTGCTTCGTGTCCCTGCAGCTGCTGACGACGCCATCTCAGTGGAATGAGTCCCTGCAGCTGCTGACTGTGCCATCTCAATTGGAATGAGTCCCTGCAGCTGCTGACTGCAATTGAATGAGTCGGCTATCTCAGTAGAATGAGTCCCTGCAGCTGCTGACGACGCCAAATCAGTGGAATGAGTCCCTGCAGCTGCTGACTGTGCCATCTCAGTAGAATGAGTCCCTGCAGCTGCTGACGACGCCATCTTAGTGGAATGAGTCGCTGCAGCTGCTGACTGTGCCATCTCAGTAGAATGAGTCGTTGCAGCTGCTGACCGTGCCATCTCAGTAGAATGAGTCCCTGCAGCTGCTGACAACGCCATCTTAGTGGAATAAGTCCCTGCAGCTGCTGACTGTGCCATCTCAGTGGAATGGGCCCCTGCAGCTGCTGACGACGCCATCTCAATGGAGTGAGTCGTTGCGACCTTCGTGGTGTAGTGCTGTGACTGTCGGCTGCATTCATGAAGGCCTGTACTTTATGCGAGGTACCATAAGAACGTACATAGTTAGATTTTGCGACGGAAATATTTTTACAACCGTCAAGAAAATCGCATTACTCTGCTAACACACGAAAAACAAGAGGGTAACAAGCGGCCGCATGCATACCGCGTTCCCCGCGAGATGCAAAAATATTGTAACTATAAAAATGCTACGACGAAACGGAATAAAATCTGCGACGGGGCATGCACCTATGGGGCAAATGGCAATTCTTGGGCGCTGTTAACGAATCACGTCCACCGTGCAGACCCACCTTCCATGAGAAGGGCCTTATAACGGCGAACATCTTGCTCTGGGCCTTGGGCGGCGGAATGAGAATGGCTGAGGGCTCCTCGTAGAAGGGGATCGTGAAGTCGATGCCCTCCTCACGCACCTGAGTAATGGTGAACCCAGCCACGCCCAGGGACACCTCCTGTCGGAATACCGGCATTGATGACCGCTCATTACAAAGCAAGACGAACAGTTAAGCTACAAGCGTAACAATCTTTGGTATCTGCTCCATCTGATTATGGGATCCTTTTTAACACCCGCCTTGGTATTTTTTTAAAATTCCTCTCCGGTATAAAGTGCAATCGCCCCTAAATTCGCTGCAGGCGTGAGACACTTCCTGAAATTTTCGAGTTGCTTTGCATAACAGCATGTCGCGTCACCTGCATCTGTGTCATTTCTGCGTCATCTTCTCAGTGTTGTGGCGATGCCCGGAAAACGGCAATACGTTTGTTGTTGTGTGTCAGCCATTTTAAATGAAGTAAGCAATGAAACTCCATTTACCAGATATGAAGCACGCAAACGCTTCTGCCCTTTCAGTGAAATTTCAGGCTAAATATTTGTTCGCTCAATGACGCCCTCGAACTCGCCATATAGTCCCCAAATAGTTTCAGTAGTTCTACGCCAAACACGCCAGGTATCGGCACACCTCTAACGAGCTCTCCTCACCGATCTGTTGACCATGCCAACCATGCCGTTCCACGTGCCGTTGTCCAGGCGGCTCCCCCAGTTGCCGTCGTACGGCAGCTGGAGGCTGATACTGAAAAGGCGGGGAGTCAGGCGGCGACGAGCACCGGAGCCGGGCCGACACCCGGCCCGTATCGAGCTGCCGCGTCGGCGCCGGTTACGCCTGTGTTTGAAAGACCGGCCACTAGCTGGGCACTGAACAAATATCAGCATTGTGGAAGCGAGACACACGCCGGCGGCCACCAGTCGCGCTGTAAGGCGTGGGCTCCGAGGCAGGGGCTGGCCAAGTGCCGCTGGGCTTCTGTTAGCATGAACTCATTACTGTAACGGCCGCCCGGTAGGTGGCGCGGCGTCCACAAGCACGTCGCCTTCTCTGCCCACACAACTGCTAGTTTGAAAACAATGGGATTTCCTTTTCTGCATAGCGTTGGTCGTCAGCAACAAAAATAATCTAGTTCCACGCAACATTTCGGCGAAGTATTGTTCGTCTACCGTATTAACGCATTTAATAGATTATTCTCCATGCACATGGCTGCTTCGTTAACATCAGTGCATCGCGGCTAGACCAATGTACGCCTGCAAAGGTTTCCAGTCGTGCAAAACACTTGACCTATCGTTGAACATGGGGGCCAGGTCCGTGAATGGATAATATCCATTCTTGATATCCGTATCCAATACCATCCTCGCTTATTTCAGCATGACATCAGTTTCAAATCGCACGGGATACTGACTGACGCTTGGGGCACCGCATGGTGACCGAGGCCGAGAGCGCAGAGCATCGCCGTGCGCCGACACTCACTTGAATCCGTACTTCTCCATGAGGGCCGACAGCATCTCGAAGCAGAAGCCGGTGGCCTGCAGTATGGTCTTGCCGTCGGAGGCCATGGTGAGGATCGCGAACGGCGGCCGCTGAGGGCGCGGCGCACCGGTCACCGTCAGCGGCGAGTCACGCCGAGGCCACGGAGCGGCCGTGGTGGGCAATGCAGAGAGGCGTAGATGTTAGGCAAGTGTTTTGACGTTTGTGCGAGTATCAGTCACTCGGCACGCTGTTCTACAAGGTTCTGATCGTTTCTCGAGGGATGTAAAAAGGAAGGAAGTTCCGGAAGAACTGTATGTTTTCTGACATTTCAAACACAGCGCATTCCCGGAGCAACGAAGGTAGTGTTTCAGACCGATACTAATATTTACATGAAATGTGAAGAATGCTTTCGCCTCGGTAATGTGCTGTACGTGAAACATGACCACACATGCAATTACTTAAAGCCTTCTTTCATTTTACTTTTACCTTGGAAATGTCAGAGCACTGAAGAACACTCTAAGCGTTGCTATGGCTGACACTGTCACCGAATGCACGGACTAAAACGCATTTAACATCCTTGTGTTGTAAACCCTTTTGCTATTGTATGAGCAAAGTATTGCAGCTATTTCGGTACCAAAATTTGCCATTATATTCGTACTGCATCGGCATAAAACCGTGTAACGATGGATGCGTAATACGCACGCCTTTTGGAAATGCCATGTTGGGGGATATCCTCGCCACGATAGCAACTGACAAGTAGCTGTCAAGCTAAACAAGAGAACGTTGGGAAAACTATAAACATAGGAGATCTGACCCCAAAACTCTGACATAATTTTTCCGTGGCATCAGGTGAGTACATGCTTTCAGCTGCTGCTGTCCTGGCGGGGATCGGGCATGCGGCGAGATATCTGTCCTCCTCAGCGCGCGCAGACCACATCTTGCGCGTCGCCTGCGTCTGCGGCCGTTGCCTGTGTGTGTGTTGGGAAGAGGGGGGGGGGGGGGGGGGGAGGTTGTCGTCGGTCTGGAGCTGATTTCCAGATGTGCATGGGGGGGGGGGGGGGGTGGGGGTGGGAAGCGTCCGCGACCGTACCTGGATGGTGACCACCTGCAGGGTGCGGCCCCGCAGGTACTCCCTAGCCTCCTGCAGCCGCACCATCTCCTGGTCGGCCCGCTCGCTGACCTCCCGGTGGGCAGCCGCTGGCGACAGACGCAGCGCACAGCTCAGGTCACGCGCTGACCGCCTGCGCCGGGGGACCGCCCGCCGGTTCACCGCAGCGCGCGGGCTGATACAGACCCCTGTCTGAATTTCAAACAGTGCGCTTCCGTCGCTTGATATGGCTGCGACTGATGAACTTTTGCGCGCGATGAAGGCACGGCGCCAGGCTAAGGGCATGGACTACAGACAGCCGCATGGAACTGAATGTAATCAAACCGAACCTTTTAACAGAAATGAGGGCAGTGGTGTCGCGAAGGAACATTGAACGCCATTCATCACAGCGCCCCCAAATGCACGGGATAATCTGACGTTTGCCCATTGCCGTTATTTTTATAACATGGCCAGCTTTTGGGTCTTCTATTCCGGTAGCTCATGCACGTAAAACACACATCTCGTTCTTCGTGGCATTTGCAAAACCAATTTTGGGGTAGATTACTTCTATGTGATCATAGGATATTTTCATATATACATATACACACCCACACCCACACCCATATACATATATATATATATATATATATATATATATATATATATTCTCACATATTTACACACACACACACACACACACACACATATATATATATATATATATATATATATATATATATATATATATATATATAATACCCAGTATTCTCTGAAGGCGGATCTGCCCGGCATCCACAAACCTCTCCCCTCCACCTAGTTCATAGACCTATGGCCCAGTGTTTTGAACAGAGAGGTACACCATTAAAGGTAAGTTTAGACAGTGCGCTGATGAGTGATGCCAGGGCTCTTCTATCGCTATCAGCAACGTTGAATAATGTTTGCGGAGCTCCAAAATCGCTGCAAGTTACAGATACGCCCACACAAAATGCGACTGTGGTGCATCAACATTCGCTAAAACATACATAGCACACAGGTCATGCCTGCTTTAAGCATTAACAGGTGAGATAGGCAGCCCACTTCCAGCAATTTCGCGCATACCTTCTTGCAGGAAAGCGGGAACTCTGGGAGGGGTAGGGGGACAGGGAGCTGATCGCCAACTTTCGGAATATATTTCAAAGGCTCTGTGGGCGTTGACTGGAGAAGACAGTCAGACAACAGCCAACATCTTTTTTTGTTTTTGATCTGTTCGCGAAACCTCAATACCTCTTCCATGGCGGTGGGGATCTTGGTCTGGTCAAGAATGCGGCTATAGAGCGAATGCTCCTGTGCAGTGCCCCTTTGAGAGCTTGCCCAGCTAGGCGAACGTCATGAGAAACGATCGCACTTTGATAATGGGACCACCCATAGCTTATGCGATGCGTTCATATCGATTATAACACAAACGGTACGGCAAACTTTACGGCTTCCCTGGCACACATTAACAACGCACATAACACCAGGTACGACGCCAGGCGCCGTTCCATCCAACGACAGGCACACACTCAATGGGCTACTGATAATTGGTGTCGTTCCACTCCTTGATCCTCACAACCATCTTTCCCCTCTTCACAGGCGAAATGTGCGAGCAGTTTGAGAGGCAGGGAGCAAAGTGCAACAACAATCACGATAGCCAGCAGATTGCGCTCTGAGTATCTTTGTTAGATCATCATGTATCGATACATTTGTGTTTCGTATTTGGTCCCATGGGACCAAATACCATAATATCGCACACGTGATATGGCGAATGGGTGCATGACAAGGAAACTAAATCGCCTCTGGGGTAAAAATTTACAGATATTTTGGTAGAGTTGACATTAGGCCATGTGTTTGGCTCCCGATTTTCGTACTTGTAGATGCCCAATCTTGTACCAATTTAGGCTACGGTCAATCAACGCTTGTGCGAAAAGGGCTAATATGACTTCTCTCCCAGAAAGGAGCATTAGCAGCGGTCCCGGGCAGAACGGAAGCCCATATTGCTGCCCAGTCTTCGTGCAGCAATAAGGTTTAGGTACGAATCAACCCTCTGGCCTATCTTACACATATTGCATAGTGAGTATTGACGCACCAATCCCCGACCAGTGATAAGCGTTGATCATACCGTCCGAAGAAATGATGCCACTTGGGAAAAGGGAACTCATGTTCGAGGTGGCAGGTACGTCTTTCAAATAGCAAGTGAGTGAGCTCTCGTTTTAAACCTCCTATATCATGGCTATCACATCTTACCCTCAAAACATTGGTGTCTCATATCAATCCTTGACTAATAAAGCCAAACTATTCCGTAAGTGAGGCAGCAGCTGCCCCAGCAGCTCAGTGTGTGGTCAGTGGTAATATTCGTGAAACGAGTGGCCTCGCGTCCTGGGAAATGCGCCAAAGTTCAAATGGCGGAGTATGCTCGTCAGGGCTTGTGTGATGACGTCATCCATCATTCTGCCGACACTAATGGCGTTCCGTCGCGAAATCGACGTCCGATGCAAGGTGCAGAGAAACACGGCCATGCATGGTCCAGGCCTCTGTTCTGTTGTGTCCCGCAGAGTTGGACTGGCTGAAGATTCTCCCTCTGTAACTTGGCTGGAATCTATTGTAGTAAATGTGGGCGCCATGGATGTTGAATGGCCCAACAAAGACCATTCAAGGCGAACAAAGAATTCGATTCCCACAGTCGAGCCTACGGTACATACCGAGCCAGGGATTGATCCCGCATGACATCTTAGGGCGCCTACGTCCTTCTGAGGGGCCAAGCTCCTCAACTGAGTGCACTTTTCAAATCCGCCAATTGCGCTATTTAACCACAGTAATTAGATTACATAGATGTACCTAATTCGAGCAAAGTATGGCAAACTCATGCTTTACATCGTCTCGGAAATGACCAGGGTTCCATTACCTCCATTTTTTGGGATCCGTCCTTGCGCAGTACTGTAACGCGGTTCAAAGCGTTACAGTACTACACGTCTTGCATCACATAAGTTTCCTCCCCGAATAAGCTATCACTCGTGTGCGGCGGCAGACCCTCGGACAGTAGCGCCGACCGGTTCACGTGCGTGGCCGCCACGGCACGGCGGCACGGCGCCGCCG